GGGTAGCAGCTCCCACAACAGTTGATGGAGACCTCATTCAGAGCCACTAAATTATGAGTTTTAAAGCACAAGATGGTGAGGAAGAGGAGCCAAGAGGGGTAGAAATCGGGGTGCTGTCAGCACCCTGAGCAGGCTCCCAGGAGGGACGAGAGGGCTGCACGAGAGCAGGGTCTGGTCCAAAGGCAAGGCCTGAGAGCTGCTCATGCAGCCCCAGAGGGACAGGCATCCCTTGCTCCATCCCATCCCAGCTGAGAGGCCATGCCACTGTCACCTGGCCACACAGTCAGGGTGACATCAGTGCCACTGCACCCTGCCTCTGTCCAGGGCCCCGTGACTAATTTGGGATCCAGCGACCATTTTTAATAGGCTGATATAAATACTCACGGGCTGTCAGCTATGAAAAAGGACCTTGCCTCGTGCCCTGCTGCCAGGCCAGGAGGCAACACGAGGGACACAGACCAACCCTCACTGGTGGCCACGGGAGCACAGAAACCCCAGAGGTCACTGGAACATCCCAGTTTCCATCCCGCTGTGAGGATGTGGTGCACACCTTGCAGGTGGCCCAAACCGGCTCGTATCCAAATTGTGAACATCAAACCAGTTTCCCGGCGGCCGTGAGGTCCCCAGGAGAGCGGGGCCGGCTGTCACACCCGCGCCTCGCATCCCGCAGAGCCGCAGCTCACGCTGTCACGGCGGCCTCGGCTCTGCTGAGCGGCACCAACCCGATGGAAGCCTTGTGCTGAGTCATCCCCGGGGACTGCCTGCCGCCCCATGTTCCCATGTCCCCGCCTGTTGCGGTGCGATGTCATGACTTGCCTCAGTTTCCTCTGGTTTCTCCATGAAATTTCCTTCCCCAGGTGGGTTGTCAATCACCTTTTCCCCACCCTTGACCCCTGCTGGACACTGTCTGTCAACCCAGAAATTCCAAGAGGAGCGTTGAGCAATTGGCAGGTTCAAAGGATGCTCTCCACCCCCTGGGGGCCATTGGCACACCCAGGTGTCCCTCTCACCTGAGACCCCCTCCCCCTGTGCCCGGTTGGTGCTCCCTGGGTCCCCTCCCCTGCCCCTCTGCCCAGGTAAAAGGGCGAGCAGAGCACACGGTCGGGGTTCTGGTGGAGTTCTGTTGGAGAGTTCATTGGAGTTGTTGGAAGATGCAGAGGCCGTGCCACCAAAATAAAAACTCTGGATTAAAAACTCTCCATCAGGACCCGCTCCTTTCTTCACCTTGCCTCAAAGGTTTCTCCAGCTCAGGAAGGCCTGAGCAGTGACCCCCTCTGCATGCCCGGACTGTCCCCACACGCTCAGCTGTGACACACAGGTACTGAACAGCATCTCTGGGGAGAAAACACCACAGGTGCCGCTATTCAGAGGCCGAGGCCAAGGCAGTCCCTCCGTAATATCGGTACACTCCAATACCCGCCGCTCCCTCCCAGCCCCACATCCCTCAGGCAGCCCCCAAAGCCTCATCCATCCCACAGGGATGTGCAGCCCGATTTCTGCATGCCTATTGATTCCTCCTTTATACTCCTCACCCCGTATTGATCCAGTTTAGCTTCCGCGACTCAAACTAAATTAGCTGCCGTTAATCCATGGATAATTGCAGCAAGCTCAGCTCTGCCTGTCCCAGATTCAGGGACGGGGAGGAGAGTGCTGGGTCACACAGAGACATTCAGGTTTCTCCTCCGCGGGTAAAAACCCCAAAAAAGCCAGCAGGCATCAGCCCAGAGGCACGAGGGAAGTTGTCTCAGGACATCCGTGCTGCAGCCAGAAACTATGGCTGGGAGCTGCTGTTCCAGCAGGAGATTTGGCCCCAAAACCCAAGCATTGCCTTCCAGCTCTGGATTTCCCCAAGACCCAGAATTCCTGTGGGTTTTAGTCTCAGGTGATACCATAAAATATTGCTACTTGCTCCTGCCAGGCTGCAGCACACAAGGAGTTAACTCCAAATTCCACCCAGCCATGGTGAGAGGCACAGCCCCAGCGCTCCTGGAGTCTTGGATAAAACCCGATGGAAAGCAGAGCCTGTTCCCCTTTGATCAGCAGCCCAGGCTCCCTGGGAGCCCTCAGCATCTCTTGCCTCTAATTTAGCAGCTCACAAAGCGCCGAAGGCAGTGGAGATGCCACTGTCACCTCACCTGCACTGACAGCCTGGCACAGCACCTGGGGATGTCCCCATGCTGATGGCAAGGCCATCCCTCCACTGCAGTTCTAATTCCTTTGTACACCCCCAAAACCCCCTCCCACAAACCTGCACCCTCAACCCTGGACATCCTCCTCTGCCCTTTTGTAAAGCCTCCAAAATAAACATTTAATTTTGATTTAATGCAACAGTTACCACAGTCAGTAAACACCAAAACTATAATAAAGGAGGGTTAATGGCCACATACACCCCCTGCCCTGGCCTGCAATGGCCAAGTGTCCATTGCATAACCCTTAATTGGTGCTGATGATCTCCTGCTATGCCACAAGGCCTTCAGCCATCCCTCCCCAGCCCTCCCTGCCTTCCCGGATGTGGCCAAGGTTGGCAGTCCCTTGAGAAATGGGTGGGATTGCTGTAGCTGCCAGGCAGGAATGGGAGATTTCCAAGTGGGAAACTGATTCTAAGCATTGGCCTGTGGGTGCAGAGCAGCTGAGCATTACATGGGGATGACAGTCCCCAAAATACCTTGGCCAGTGCACCTGCAAAGGCAGCCAGCCTGGGGTGAGCTGCGAGCTCCTCTGCACAGCTCTGGAGACACAGGGGCTCTGGGAGTGGCCAGGCAGGGCACATGCTCCAGGGCCATGCAGAGGTGGCACAGGGTTTGGATAGAAAAGGCCAGGATTCACTTTTGTGGGAGAGGAAACTAAAGCAGAAGCTGAGCCACAGGGGACACCCCCCCGGAGTCCCCACAGCACAGCCTGGCTGTGTCCACTTAGTCCCTGGCAGCAATCTGCACAGAGGGTCAGTTAAAAAAAGAAAGAAGCGTGTTTTGAGCAAGCGTCAGCCAGCCTCAGCTGCAAATTCACTTGTCAGGAACATTGGAATTACTTTGAGCTGGATGGTATGAACAGCTGTGCAAGGCAAGTGCTGAGGCAGGGAAGGGTGGTAGGAGCTGCTGAGCCCCCCAGCCCCCTCCACTGCCTGCAGATGCTCCATGGGATGCCAGAGGAGGGCTGGTGCAACCCAACATGTACCCCCACCCACATCCTGCTGCAAAGGGACTGCAGCAAACACCCCAAATTACCCAGGAGAGGAGGCTGGAACAGGGGATTCTCCATGGCAGCTTGCAGACTGCAAATTCTCTCTGGATGAATACTGGAGTAACTGGGCTCAACAGTACAGGATTGGCTTTGGAGGGACTCCTTATATCAGCCCCACATCTCCTGCCCCCCTGCACCTGCCTGTCATAGGTTCCCCTGATATTTTGGGGCATTATGAAGCTTTTCAATCACTTTCAGAGCAACCAGTGAGCAGCAATTCCAAACCCCCTCCTGCAGCAGCCCCCAGCTACCAAAACCTGCCTGTTCATGCCCAAAATAACCCTCAGGCAGGAGCTAATCATCCACTCAGGCATAAGCAGATCAGTGCTCAGGTGCTGTTTGGCCACCTAGGTGTGTGGCAATGGGGTGCTCAGCTGTGCCAGACGTGGGTGCTCATGTATGAATTAACCATGTTAATGGTTAATAATGAGCTTAAGAAACCTCATTATTTCGCCCAATGTACCTTCTCAAAGGCATTGCAAATTGCACTTCATGTATGAATTAACCATGTGCCCAGCTTAAGAAACCTCATTATTTCGCCCAATGTACCTTCTCAAAGGCATTGCAAATTGCACTCCCACATATGTTTCGGGTGGGGGTGTTGACACTGGAGCAGGATCCAGGCTTAGGTCACCCTTCTCCATTCCCTTTCTCCCACAGACGCAACATCCCCCACAACAAACAGCTTTCAGAGCCCATCTCCCACTGATGTCACTTCAATGCCACAGGAGATAACAGCTGAGAGATCCAGAACCAGCGCTGGGTTTTCCAGGGAACGTCAATTAGAGGGAAAGCCTCATTAGCACAGCAAGGGTGGCTGCTTATGCTGCCTCCCCCTCACCCCATGTGCCCCGGACCCCCAAAGGGACACTGTGGGTGTCAGGCCTCCCGTCTGCCTTGCTGGTCTGAGCAGTGGGGCGCCCTGCACATCCCCCAGTGTAAGTTTTAAACGTTAAAGCAGGTGTTTATACAAAAAAGATGCCAAGGGAAAACCTGTTTCTCCCCATCCATGGCTGCTGAGGCTCCCACGTGAGCCCAGAGCCCTGGGATGGAGGAAGTCCCCCTGTGCCATCTGCAGCAGCCTGATGGCAAACCCAAGTGTTTGTGGGGAAAAAGCAGCACATCAGTTATCTGATGTGTTTTTGGAGAGCTTTTTTGACAGCTCTGCAGCTGGAGGAGCGGGGGAGCGCAGGATGCTGCCTCCAGCCACCCTGAGCCTCTGCAGTGGTGGAGAAAGCCTCTGCATCTGCCACCAAAGGGAATGTGGGAAGGGATCAGGCAAACAGACACTGGGAAGTGGCACAGGACCCCTGAGCCCAGAGATCCCACTCCATCGTCCTCCTGAGGGCCTGGGTAGGCTGGGCAGCACACACCAGTCCTGTCTCCTGGTAACTGCCCAGAAAACAACCCTTGCAGCAAAACAGCATTTGCCATGAAATCAGAAGGCTGGTGACAGGAAAGGACAGGAAGCACCACTGGGAGGGTTTAACCACTGCAACCTCTAATGAGGAGCAGCACCCCTGGGTGCCCCAGCTCCGAGCCTGGCCAAGGGGTACAAGGGGTCCAAAAGGGGAGCTGCAGTAGGACTCAAGCAAAGCCACCCTCTGCTAAGGCCATAAAGCCCAGGGGTGGCTCCAGGGGCAGGCAGAGTGTGGGAAGCATAGGACATGGCCACCAGCACCCAGGGACAGCAGCAAGGCAAAGGCACTGGGAGGACAGAGGTGCCACAACAACAGTTATTCATCACAAAGAACTACTCATTCTTTTTTGTTTTGTTTTATTGAGAGGTGAAGCCAATTCATCCTGACAGAGGTTCACAGCATAGCTCTGCCTGGGGGCTGCTCACAGCTGCTCACCAATGAGCAACGCAGGATGGGAGGAAAGCACCCAGTGTCTGTGCTACAAGGGGCTGGTGGGCACCAAAATGTCACCCCAGCACCGTGCCACCTGGGGGACAGCTGCCACTGTGGCATCTGTGTGGGCTTCCCCACAGGCACTCAGCACCAGCCCTGCTCTCCGAGGATGCTCTCCCAGCAAACACAAACCAACTCACTCTGAGCACTTCTGAGGACGGGTGTCAAATCAATCCCCACAGCAGAGATGCCAAGCTAAAAAAAAAAAAAAAAGATGGCAAAAAAACCCAGAAGAAAGTAGGCGGACATCTGCCAAACCAGCAATTTTCAGCTGGATTTCCAGAAACACTTCAGGCTTTTAAAACCAAGAGAGGAGAGAAAACAAAACCCCTCCACTCAGATGAAGTGCAAAATTCCGACGTGACTTCAAAGGCATTTCTCCTGGCTAGTTACTCCCAAATCCTGGCACAACCCACTAGAAAGCCAGTGGGCAGTACCATTTTGCTGCCAGATGACAGCACCCAGCCAGCTGGGGTGTGAGGTACCGTGCTGGGGGAGCCCAGGGTGTCAGAGAGATGCTGAAAACCTGGTACTCACCCATTTGGAAGCAGGGAGGACAAGAAGGGAAGGAGGGGAGAAAAGAGAGGATAAACTTTACATCAGTTGTAATCAGCAGGTTTTATCCATGCACTATATATTAAGTTAATGTATGTTACAATCTCCTCTGTAAAGGAAAAATACCAGCTGTTGTAGCCAGCAACATTTTTAAGAGCACTTGACTCCCAAGTCATCCAGGTGCTTTTGACAGTGTTACCCTGGGTTGCTATAGGAACCCTAACAGTTTTCCCATCTGACTCCTCCATTAACACTGGGATTTATATTTAATTTGGTTTCTTTTTCCTCAGCAAGAAGAGGTGAGAAGCAAGCATGCATACAGGGGCAGGAGATGCTCCTACACGGATGTCTCCTGGACATACCAAAAACAGGACCCAGGACCACAGTCAGTCATGCTGAGACACTGCTGAAGCAACAGTGCAAGCAGACCCCGAGCCACTGCAGGTGGGGAAGGGCACAGCCCCACTGCACTGCCAGGAACCATCTGGGGTAGTGATCAAGTTGCCTCTGTTATGGGGCTCTCCCATGCTCCCATGCCAGTCTGTCCCACTCTTCCCTTCCCACAGGCAGCAGGACTGAGAGGCTCATGGGCTGAGCATCCCACGCAGCTCATGGACAGAGGTGACAGGCAGGGAGCAGGTGAAGTTGCTGCAGATGTAGGCAGTGGCTTTCCCATCCTTCCTCTCCAGGGATGCAAGGAAAGGCAGCTGGCGGTAGAGGAACCCGGCGCTGTCTCCATCTGCGACCATCAGCACCTGCCCAGAGAAGGAGCTGTGAGAGCCAGAGCACAGCCAGCTGGTCCTTCCTGCCCCACTGACATGCTGAGGGCTGGCAGTGTCCCCCCACACACTCTCTCAAAATGGGGAGGGGACAGGGAGCTGAAGGGATCCACTCCAGCCCTCTGCCAGGGTCCCACAGTGGTCACATCCCTACAATGCCAGTGCAGGAAGAAGCATGATGGAGATGAGGCAGCTTTGCCTCCCTTAACCACACCAGACACTTGGCAGCCAGGATGAAGCACAGGGATCGGCACATCCCAGCCTAGCCAGCTCCTTGGGGACACCTACCCAGCCAAAGAACAGCCCCAGAAACAGCTGCAGCATTGTCCCATCCAACCTGCAGCCCAGTTCTTCCTGCCCTACCCACACCTCCCAGGAAAACTCAGGCAGCAATGAGCAGTGGGTCAGGGGCTCTCCCAGTTGACACAGCAGCATCAGCCAGAGGTGATGACTGGGCTGCCAGGATAATTAGCTTTTCTGAAAGGGAAAATGTTTGTTAAAGCCTCAGGGCTTACAGGCTAATTAGGAGAAAGGCCAGGAGCTGGCAGCAAGCCTCATGCTGAGGCAGATGCAAAGAGTGAGCAAAAGGCTGTCCCTTCCCAAGGCACAGAGGGAACATCCTGCTGCTGGAGCACACAGCTCTCCCTTGCCTGCCCCAATCCAAGCCCTGCATGTGTCTGCTGAGCATGGACACACCTGCAACATGTCCCTGCTACCCACGCCAATGCCACCAAGGGATGCTGACACCAAATGCTGCCTCCCACAGCACACACACTGTAGCACTGCTCACCTGGCATGCAGCATCCTCTACACCAGAGCCAGCAGAAGACCCAGCACCAACATCCAGAGACTCCCACACAGCCTCCTCACTCATGCCTAGCAGGGCTGCCCACACCCTTGTGTTCCCAGGGGGGCACCACATCCCCAAGTCCCTGCCCTGGATAGTGGCTGCTGCAGTTCTGTCCTATCCCCCATCATCTCACATCTGCTTGACCCAGCTCTGGTTCAGCCTGTCTCCCTGCCTGCCTCCTGCTCCCCCCAATCTCCTCCCACTTTGCCTTTGTCTGGAATTAATTCCAGGAGTGATTAATTACCAATTCATGTCTAATCTGAAATTCATTATTCATTTTTCTCACAAGCTCCCCAAGGTCCTCTCACAGGGCCAGGATAAAGGCGAGTGGCAGGCAAGTACTCTGCAGCTGAGGAGATAATGGGATCCTTCCTAATTACCCTAAAGACCATTAACAGGGCAGGGATCCATACCAGCAGCTGGGATCCAGCTCCAGAGCAGGGAACCAACCCTCACTGCTCCCAGCACCAGGACACCCACAGGAACAGCTATCATCATCACCCCTACTTGCATCCCCAAAGAGCTGCCTGCAGCCAAGGGCTGCTCCAGACCCAGGGTCCATTCAAAATCACAAGCTCAATGCAATTTTATCATTAGCATCTTGTTACAGCAAGGATTTCAGGGTGAGGTTTGTAAGGAATTAATTACTGGAACAACCTAATTAATTGTGTTCCTGCACGCAAGCCTGGCTCCCAGAACCCTGCTGGCACAAAGGGAGTGGGGACACATGGGACACAGGGATGTTCCCCCAACTCCTTGGCAAAGGCAATTCCCAAATCAGCCATGTCCCTGGAGCAGTGACCCAGGGCTGCTCTGCTTAGGGCAACTTCCCAAGGCAGAGAATGAGATCTGAGGAGCAGCTGGAGGGGGATGGAGGCAGATGGGAACAGGAGCATGCTCATGTCAGTGTGATGCAGCATGGAAAGAGGGACAGCTATTGGGAGGCAGTGGGCTGCTCCCAAAGGCAGTGCAACTCTCTCAGAAGTGGGATTCTCCCCCCTTCCCTCCATCACCTCTGCAAGGGGAGGAGCCATGGCTACTGCCAGAGATCATGCTCCTACCACTCCTGCACACTCATGCTTGGGGAAGGGGAGATACGTGTCCACAGGACTATGCTCCTCTGGGGGAAAGCTTTTCCCTCCTGCCACAATTCTTCTTCCAGGAAACAAACCCGAGCTGGAACAGCTTTGGCTCCATCCCATCATCACAACATGAGGAACACACAAGGGGCAAACAGAGCTAGACTCCCACCCTGCCTGCTGCCAGCTTCCAGCTGCAGCCTCTCACGTGCCCCTCAAAGCACAGGTCCCCTGCAAGCAGCCCTGGCAGGCATGACCCCATGGAAATACCATCCAGAATACCAAGCCCTCATCTTCTCCCTTCACCAAGAAATGCAGAAGTTTGGAGGGGAAAGGAACATCCCCACCAGCCAGGCTTGTTACCAGCTCTGCAGGAGGGAGCCAGACTGCAGGGAAGAAGAGGACATGGCTGTGCTATTTGTTCTGCTCAAGACCCCAAAACTGCCAGTGTGGGCTCAGCGGACCAAGGGCTGAACAGCTGTGGGCAGAGGGTTATTAACAGTGGTGCTGGGCTCCTGCTCCTGCAAACTGGGTCACCCAGTGTAATCCTTCAAAGGACAGAGGACGAGTGCGGGAACAGAGGCCTCGCACACAAAACAGGGACCTGCATGCAACAAGAGTGCTGCTGGATGGGTGATGGCAGAGGAAGGACAGAGAGCTGTGTGCTCCACTCGTGCCCCTGGAATGAGTCCCCCCTCCTCCAATGCTGACATTAAACATCGCTGGGCACACAGGCCAGGTCAGGGATGACACCCCTGTGGGCTGAGCTAACGAGAATACAGAGCAGAGGATTCTGTGCTGACGGCCCAGCCCTCCCCAGTTCATCCTAGCTGGGGTTACAGAGGCAAACTGCTTTGGCCTCAGCTCCCCAGACACTGAGATTGAACATGCCAGTCCCTGGCACCAGGACCCAATGGCCAGGGATGAATCCAATCCAAACACCAAGCCCGCTCACTCACAGCCCAGTCCTATTTTCCTCAGCTCCACAGCTTTGCTGAGGTCAAAGGCAGCATTCCCAAGGCAGGGACCCTGCCCACCAAAGCTGATGGACACCAGCTGCTGTGCTGCCCTTCCCTGGCAGCTCCAGAGGCAGCCAACAACTGCAGCCCCTCTGTGGGATGCACTGATACATCTCAAAGCAGGGATGAGGACAAGCAGAGCCAGGCAGGAACCCCAATACACAGCAACAGCTGCTGAATGGGAGAACAGCTTTGGGAAAATCCAGCCTCTCCCAGCTGGTGGTACCCAGAATTGGATTGAGGCACTGCCTCATCCCTTCCAAGGATGCAAGGGTGTCTCCAGGCAGCAGGTGACCCAGATACTAACTGGGTCTGCACAGGACATGACACATCCACACTAGGCATGACACATTCACACCGGAATGAAAGGTTTCCCTCGGGAAAGAGCTGGGCTTTACACTGAGAGCAGTGTAAACAGCCAGCAGCAGTAACAACCACTCCTGCAGCCACTTCTGGGCTGGGCTGCCCATGCTCTGTGCAGGGAGAAGAGTGCAGGGCTCAGCCGTGGCCCTGTGGCTGTGCTTAGAAATGAAAAGGACAGGATGCTTCCCAGATAAGAGGCAGAGCAGAGGAGGATGGGTGCAACAGCTGCACTGAGAGAAAGGATGAAACACCAGCAGTGCAGTCAGCAGAGACCAGGGAAGGGCTGGCAGGCAGGCAGCACCTCTACCTTGTTTGGGCTGAAGACAGAGCGGATGCAATGCAGCATCTCTTTGGTGTCTTCTCCTTGGGGGTCCCCACAGATGACGACCTGTCCAGGGGGAGGGTGGGTGGCAGGAGGGAGAAAACAGAGCTGTGACCACATCCATGCCACTGCCAGCCCCACGTCCTACAGCAGGTCCTGCAGAGACAATGAGCCCCAGCCCTTACCTGTTTGAGGGTGTGATGGAAGACAGCAGTGGCCCGGACCATCTCTGGGAGGGTTATTGGGATCTTCTGCAGCCTCTCTGAGAAGGCAGACAAGATCTTGCCAGCTTTTTCTGCCCAGTCCGTGTGACCAGAGTAACAAGCTGCTCGGAGCAGGTTTGTGACAGCGACAGAGTTAGGGGTGGGCTCTGCTCCATCTTGGTCTGCAAAGGACAACATCTGCCATCAGCCCAGTGCCTCACCACCATCTGCCACCAGCCGGGTCCTCCCACACCACAATCCATGGAATGCACTGCCAGGTCCCAGAGCTCACCGTCCTTGAGACGCAGCAGCAGGGAGGGATCGCTGGCCTCAGTGGAGAAATAAGCAAAGCCTTTAGGGTCCCAGAAGAGCTTGTCTTGCATGTGCTGGAGATGAAGGGCCCACTCCAGCCAGCTCTGCTCCAGTGAGGCCTCATACAGGTCAAAGAGTGCCTGGATGACAAAGACATAGTCCTCCAGGAAGCCCTGGATGGGCACAGTGCTGCAGTGGCAGAAAGGGAAGGAAAATCAGAATCTCTAAACTGAGCAGGTTAGAAATGTTCTCCAACCCAGCAAAGCCCTGATTACTGGTCTCTGATACCCAAGGAGATGCCACCAAGCAAAGCAATGCTGTGGCCATCACACAGCTCAGCCCCAGGGTTCTGTACAGGAGAAGGTAGGAGAAGACACTTGCCAGCATGAAAGATGAGGAACAGGAAAGGTTTTGACTTCAATTCTTCCTCACTGGCTGGGGGACACTAATCCTTCCTAAACTGCACCAGAGCTCTATACAAAACAAACAGCCTAACTCCCTCCCAGTTCAGTCCTGCCTGGAAGAGAGGACAGGGACTGCTGGGGGTCTGGGCAGCACCTGCAGGTGGCCAAAGTCTGTGGAGTCTGATACTCACCTCTGCTCCACTGAGTTGTGCTCGCCCCGGTAGCAGCTCCGCAGCAGCCTCCCACTGTCAGGGTCGAAAAGGTGTGTCCTCAGGAAGGCAGCTGCCTGTGCAGCCCTGCTCACATATCCCTGCTCAGCCAGGGTAGCCCCAGCCTGGGCAAAGCCTGAGATCATCAGCCCTGCAGAGGCAGAGACAGCAGGACAGGTCAGGGGGGGCACACGGAACTGGTGAGAGGGTCACTGTCAGCCTTCTGAAGGAGGCTCAGCGTAAAGCTCTTCCTCCCTGATGCCAGCAGGTCAGGTCTTAGCTCTTCTGCTCAGCTCCAATCACTAATGAAGTCACTCACTGTCACCAAAGACATGGGCCAAGAGCCCTCACTTATGGGCAGATACAGGGCTCAAGCCTATTCCAGTTTGCAGGATAACTCCAGCCCATGCCAGCCCATGCCAGCTCCAGACCCAGGAATTTACTGCTGGGAACAGAGCCGGGGGTCCTGCAGTGATTCCCTGAGACAGGACCCCCAGAAAGACAAAGTGCTGTGTTCCCTCACCCATGCAGCAGTAGGGATGGGCTCTGTGCCCACGAGGGTCCTAGGTCCCCAACTCAGGCCCCTTCCCCAAGCTCAGCCAGAGGAGCTGGACTGAGCCAGGGGAAGAGTTTTGCTGCTCTCTGCTGGCAGCTGGGGAAGGAAATAAAGCCAGAGCAGTATCCCGACACTCCCAAGGCTTGCAGGTGTGGGGCTGCTTCCACACAGCCCCTGATCACAGGTCCTGATCACAGCCTACCCAGTGCCTCTGTGGGAGGTTCTCAGTGCCAGCAAGACCTGGTGCTACTGTGCCCTGGAAAGGGTCCAGCCAAGGCACGTGTCCTCAGAGCAGAGCCACCTCTCACCATTCCATGCTGCCAGCATCTTGGTGTCCAGGTGTGGCCGTGGCCGCTGTGCCCGGGCTGAGGACAGTCTCTGTTGGCATTCCTGCAGCAGAGCACTCAGCCGGCCTGGCTCCAGCCCGAATCGGGCTGCTGTCAGCTCCGGGGAGCCGCGGGCAATGAGGACGTTCTTTCCCTTCAGCTCTTGATGGGGGTCCTGAAGGGAGAGGGAGACACATTCTAGGAGTGCCATCAGACTTGGGAGGTGTTGCATTCTGAGTGTTTTGGGGCTGTTCTGCCATCCCTCCATACCTATGGATGCAGGTCCCTCATCAGTGCTCCTGACACTAGGCAAGTCTTTGTTCTCCCTCACCTTCATGGGGTCCACGTTGCCATCCTCTTCCACTCCATAGTGGTGCATGAAGACATCTCCCAAGGTTGTCCCCTCTGTGGCCCCCTCGACGGGGTCAGGGAGGAGAGCCCGGAGCTCCTCGGCTGCCCACACACAGAAAGCTCCTTCTCGCTTCTCTCTAGATGTGCTGGTTGGGTAGGAATCTGCATCTTCTGCACTATAGAAACCTCCTGCCTGGGAAAAGCGCAACAGAGAGATCCTCCAGCTCCAGGACAGCACTTTCAGCCAGCTCCCCATCCCTGCGGGGCTGGCAGTCTGACCAACGAGCCTCAGTAGTGCTCCAGACTGAGCTCAGCTGAGACGGAAGGGAGGGAAAAACAGCCCCAAGCCACATCCCAGGGTAGGCTGGCTCCCTTTGGCTCAGCTCAGGGAAGAGCCTACCTGGTCACTCAGGTCACGCGAGACGTAGAGTAGAATGTCTCGGACAACATCAGCAAAGAATTCATCACCAGAGATCTGCGGGAGACACAGGGTGGACATCAGTGGTACATGGATGGGAGAGGACAAGAGACACAGCAAAATATGGTGAGATTTCAATTTGAAGAGTTGGCAAAGGAGCACTTGAAAATCCAATGATCTTAAATGAGGGATGGATTCAGAGTAAGACCTTCAACAAAAATCTACTATCAGAGAGTACTGCATATCTACAAAGGGCAGTGGAGAGTAATGCTGCAGTCACACCGAGGTCAGAGGCAGCAGCATTGTCTGCTGATTTGCAAAGACCAGCCCAAAGCCTGTTTCCTCCCCCATTATGCTCAAAGCCCTGGGGCCACACGGTCATGGGTTTGTACAGCACTTCTGGATAAACAACAGGAGATGAAGGGTAGCATTGGATTGCTCCATGGGATTGGGAATATCTTGGGGAACAGGCTTTGAAGCTGCTCCCCAAACCAGGCCAGTCCTCGCAGCCTGCAGGAGTGGGAGCCACACAGAGGGATGCCAAAGCTGTACCTGGAAGGCTTTGCTGTACATGGCTGCCAGCTGCCCCTGGTCATACAGCATCTTCTCAAAGTGAGGTACATGCCAGTGCTGGTCCGTGGAGTAGCGGTGAAACCCCTGCAGAGACCATGTGAAGACATCTCTACCTCACATCTCCACCTCACACCTCCTGGCCATGACAGGGGCTTACCTCCAAAGATTTACTCCTACCTGACCAATGTGGTCATGAATGCCCCCATGGGCCATCATCTTGAGGGTGTGCAGAGCCATCTGCAGTGCCCGGGCACCTTCTGGAGTTGTTCGGTGCAGGGCCCAGTATGTGAACAGGAAATTCAAATTCACTGAAACACAGGGAGATAACGGGAGGCTGTAGGGTGGGCTCTGCCCCCACACTGCTGTCTGCCCCACAGCAGGTCTCAGCAGAAGAGACCAGACTGACCTGGGGTGGGGAACTTGGGGGATCTGGAAAATCCACCATAGTCCTCATCATAGGATCTGGAGAGCTGCTGGAAACAGATGTCCATCACCTCTTTGGCTGGTGGGGGTGACTCCTGGCCCTGAACACGGATCTCTGATGTGTGTCGCAATGCTTCCAGAATCCTGTGGCTGCTCTCCAACAGGGCATCTTTGTTCTCCTTCCACTAAAATGCAAGGAGAAAAAGACAGTTCTTCTTGCCTTGCACCAGTCCAAACCACACCTCCAGTTCTCAATCACCCTCCCCAAATCAGCTCAAACCCACTTCTAACCAAGCCAAAGCTCTGAGTGGTTCTCTGGGCTACTCTTCCTCACAACTGAATCTCCTAAGTTACCCTTCAAGCCCAGACCAGTTTCCCTGTGCTCCCTTTGGTTCCGCGCTGTCTGCTGCACCATTCCTGCCCCGCACCTGCTCTGCGATCCGGAGCAGCACAGTCCGAAAACCAACACGATGAACTCCATCCTCAGGAGGGAAATACGTCCCCCCAGCAAAGGGCTTGAGGTCTGGGGTCAGCCAGACACTCATGGGCCAACCACCTCCACCACTGGTGGCCTGAAAGACAAAACACGTATGCACCAAGGTCAAGCAAAAAGCACCTGCTCTGTGCCCTTCCAGCACATCCAAGAACCTCACTCAAAGAGACATGTGTGCTTCTGTCCGCCTTTGAGACCCATCCAGACCACCCCATGTACTGGTTCTGCTTGCTTGAGGAACACCACAATGAACAACACCCTGAGAGAAGCAGTCAAAGCCTTCTGCCCATGCCTCGCTAACCTGCACAAAGGTCATGTACACTTTGTCCACATCTGGCCGCTCTTCACGATCCACTTTGATGCACACAAAGTGCTCATTCATGATCTCCCCAATCTCCTGGCTCTTGAAGGACTCCTCCTCCATGACATGGCACCAGTGGCAGGTGGAGTAGCCAACTGCAAACAAGCTCAGATGGGTGAGGAATGGTCCTTTGCAGGAAGCAGGAAAGACATGATGGGGAGAACACTCAGAAACAGGGACCCTTGCTATGGGCAAGAGCTACCACCTCCCTGGACAAGAGATGGAGGAGAAAAGTCTCCTGAACTCTCCAGCTCTTGATCCTGAAAGCTGGCCAAGGACTCTGGTCCTGCATGTAGCCCATGTTCAGAGAGAGCTACTCCAGCACATGCTCCTCTCTTGCTTGGTGGTCATCCATCCCTACATGGCTGATCACACACCAGCTCAGGATGCAGCTCAGCTTATCTGATCATCTACCGACCAACATATGGAGACGTGAAATGTGCCTTGTTTCTGGTTACCTGACAGGAATATCAGCTTGTTTTCTGTCTTTGCTTTATCAAAGGCTTCCTGACCCCAAGGGTACCTGTGGGGGGAAGACAAGAGTCCCTCAGCCCCACGGGCACAAGGAGAGGAAGAGGAGGAGGAAGGGGAAAGGCTCCCCATTGCTCTTACCAATCCACGGGGTTGTGGGCGTGCTGCAGGAGGTACGGGGACTTTTCGTTAACCAGGCGGTTGGTGTGACGAGGGCGGCTGGGGGGGCCGGGTGTCCCCACCGTGGCCATGGCTGCGATCCCCGTCAGAAACGTGCGCCTGTGACACCAAACAGGCTCAGGGGTTCCCTGCTCACCACAACAAAGCTCAGCCTCTAGACAGAGCCATGACACACCAGAGCATCAGCACCACCACCCCAGCTCCTGCTGTGCCCCAGGACAGGGTGCTGCTCCCCGCTATCCGCTCCCCATGCCGAGGGAAACAGCCTCAGCCCCAGGTAGCTCTGCTGGGGCTCAGGACACCCCAATCCCTCCTAGGACGTTACAGATCCTTCCCACTCACTGGAGGCTCAGAGGAGGCTGTTCTCCAGTTTGGCACACCCCACCCATGGTGGGGTGAAGGCCATTCCCAGAGCTGCCCGCCACCAGCACACTTTGGGGGCACACTGAACAGCTGTAAATGCAAGAGCAGCATCTGCGGGACGTGACCTGCGTGTCCTCAGGGAGAACATCCCCTCAGAGAGGAAAATCCCCTCGCGTAGGGTGGATGTGGACAGGGGATGGGGCACAGGCTCTTTATGGTGACGGGAGTGAGGGGCAGGAGAGGACCAGGGAGACCCCTCTGCTGCGGGGTAGGTGAGCGTTTGGGTATGAGGATGCAGAAGGGATGCAGGGCTGGGATGCAGGAGGTGGGAAAGCGGTGCAGAACGGGAGTACAGAGTATGCGAAGTCGTGCAGGGGCTGCGGTAGGGAGGATACAGCGGGATGAAAAGGGATACGGGGAGGATGTCGGGGAAGGCAGAAGTGTACGGGTGCGAAAAGGCCATATGAGGGACTCAGGAAGGCGCTGGGAGAATCTAGAGGAAATACAGGAGTGGTACAGGGCGTTGCAGGAGATTTCGGGGGACGCGGGCGCTGCAGGGAGGGCGCGGGGGGCACAGACGAGGTGCGGGGAGGATTCGCGGAGTGGCGGGGACGCGGTGACGGCGCAGCGGTGCCGGCGGGCCGCGCGGCCACCGTACCCAGGGCCGGACCCGCCCCCCCGGCCCCTCCGGTACCTGCGGGCGCAGCGCAGCGGCGCCGCCAACATGGCGGCTGCTCCCCGGGCCCCGCCCCGCTACCGGCCTGGCCGCGCCCCCGCTGCCACCGCCCCGCTCCGTCACCGACCCGGCCCCTGAGGCGCAGCCTCGCCCTCACTGGGATCCCGCCTCTCCTGGTTCCGCTCCCGCCCCGTTACCGCCCCGCGCCGCACGCTGTGGTCACTCAGCGCAGTTTACCGTCGCACGGGGCACTCACAGGCGTACACTGGGTCGCTCAGCGCAGTTTATTGTCGCACGGGCACCCGCAGCCGCCGCCGCCGCCATCGCAGCGCCCAAGCACCGCCGCCCCCGCGCCCGCAGCGGCGCCCGGCAGCGGGCGGGGGGCGGTGGCGGGGCGTGAGGGGGAGCAGCCAAGGGAGGGCGAGCCCCGTGGGGTGGGAGGACCCGCGGCTTCCGCCCCCGGCCCTGCGCTGCCCCAGATCCCCGCTGCTCTGGGGCAAAGCCCCACCACGCCGGGGGTCCATCCAGCAGCCGGACGCCGTGCACCCTCCCGGCCCACTGAGCAGAGCCCCCGCACCACAGCCCTTCGTAAGGCCTCCGCCGTGGCCCCTCACAGGGGAAGGGGGTTCCCTCCTGCCCGTCAAGCACCGGGGCTCATGCTGGCTGTCCCCCCCAGCCAGCCCCACCGCGGTCCCCCACACCGGCCCTCGCAGGGAAAGGGGTCCCCTGTTGCCCGTCAAGCACGGGGGCTCATGCTGGCTGCCCTCCATAGCGGGCACGGGGAGGGGGCTGCGCGGGGGCACCCTCCCGTGCAGCTTAGCAGACCCCCAAGTCTTGGTGGAAGGAAAGATCGTGGGGATTGTAACAGCCATGGGGAGGGGGTCCACATGTCCAGATGTCCAGAGGGTTCAGAGGAAGGGGTTGAGCCCCCCGGGCGCGGACGGCGGCGCCGGGGAGCCGCTCAGCGGCAGTAAAGGCTGCGGCAAGGTGCTGGGGAGTTCGGGGAAGGTGCCAGCCTGCGGAAAGGCACTGGCGGAGGCGGGGAGGGCAGCGGTGGCAGCGGGGACGCTGCTGAGGGGCAGCGGCAGGGATGCGCTGTAGGTCATGGAGTTGGCGGGGTGGCCGGCGGGCAGCCCGGGCACTGGTGAGCTGGTCCGCATCTGGTTCAGCGTCGGCTTGGGCTGCTCGGAGAGGTTGAAGGGGTTGGTGGGGGACGGCGTGCTCAGACCTGGCAAGGAGAAGATGGGACATGTCAGGACAGCCAGGCAACCAGCAGTTCTCCTCCTTTCTCCCCCGCCCACCACCTGTCCAGCACAGGGAAACCCCTGGCCAACAGCCCTGTGGCACCTACCCGAGAGAAAGGGGTTGCGGGTCTTGGAGGCCGGAGTAGGTGCGACCAGGGAGTCCAGGTTGACCAGGGAGGAGGCGGCAGGGCCAAGGAAGGCCTCGGGGGTTTTACAGTCCTTCCGATCCTTGCCGGATTCAGGCAGGGAGTCAGCCAGGTTGGCAAGGTCAAAGCTCTTTGCCCCATCCTGCCTGGTGCTGGGGAACAGGTCGCCAAAGGGGTCGGGCTCTGAGATGGAGGGAGGGGAGATGAGACACATGAGCCAGCTGGGAGACACCAAGGGTGACAGCATTCTCCCTTGTCACTGCACAGGGTGGCTGAGAACACATCTCCCCCCATGTCACAGCGTGACACAGTGGGGCTGAGCCTGCAGCACTGGCCACCCCAAGGATCCCCCAAGCCGCCATGGGAGACAGCAGAGTTAGGGACATGGGTACACACAGAGACTTGGGCTGCTCCCTCAGCTGTGGGGCAGACTCAGGCCACAGCACGTGCCCATGGAAACAAGATTTGGTCACACCAGCAAGCAACTACACACAAGCTGGCTAGCCCTAGAACTGCCTCCCTGCCACAGGCAGGGACAGGTCACCACCTGCCCACTCCCAGCTCTTACCCACAGGGCTGCTGGACTTGGCCGAGGAGGGCGGCTGCGAGGGCTCCTGCTCCGGCGGCTCAGGCGGCTTTGCAAACGGGTCAAAAGCGTTCCCCCCTGGAGCTGGGGGGAAGAGGGGACACTCAAGGAGGGGAGCAAGCAGGGAGGTGGGAGGCAGAAGATGGAAGGGCAGGAGAGAGGCAGGGGTGGCTGCCTGCAAGGAGATAGAGAAGAGGGGATGCAGTGTGGTGCATGGGAGTGGGGGTCAGGAATGTGCACTGGGGAAGGCTTAGATGAGCTAGATCATGGGATCATTGCAGACCAAGACACCCCTACTGCATGCAGCCATTACCCCGTAACAAGCAGGTGCCTTTCCCAGCCCCAGCAGGGACAGGTGGAGGGGACAGGTCTGCAGGAATGCTTTAGCAATCAGCACTGGCCCCCAGACCAGGTTCTGCAACCCTCACCAGGGACCAAAACTGGAGGCATCACATGCAGGACCTGCACAGGGCTGGAGGAAACACCCAGGAGGAACTGAGAGTGACATTGAGCTTTGAAACACAGGCTGCTCCTACAACTGTTTGCCCATCTGCAGCATGGCACCTGTGACCAGCAACGGTCCTGTCTAGTCCTGGCAGGGTGTACAGGGGTCATTTGGGTTGAGAAAATAGTATCACTAATGGGACACAGCATCACGCCGCTGCTGGAGGGGCGCGGGGCTGCCATCCGCTCCCATTAGAAGGCTCTATTAACTGCCATGTTAATTAAAGCAGCCTATTCTGTACAAAGATGAAGCCTAAAAGTTCCTTGAAGTCTTCAGGATGCTGAAGGATGAGCAGAGGTCCTGCTGAGGGTCAGGGGAGGGGGTACTTGGGGAGCTGGTTGAAGGAAGAAGCGGGGAGAACCCAGAGATGCCCACTTGCAGGAGGGTAGTGATGGTCAAGGCTGTCCTCAATCCTCAGCAAAGCCAAAAGGTCCACTGAGCCTCTTACCAGGGGTTGGAGGCTGCTCAGGCACAGCAGCCCAAGGGTCAGGAGCTGGTGTAGAATTGGAGCCCTGGGGGGCTGGGGGGGATGCTGTTCCCCAGGGGTCTGCAGGAGGGAAGCCAGAAGACATCGGTGCCTTCCCCCAGGGGTCAGAGGCTGCAGTGGTGCTGGGGGGAAAGTCCCAGGGCCCAGCAGAGGTTTGCTGGGATGAGGCGCTCGCCTGGGAGAGGGGGTCCCCTCCAGGGTCTGGGACTGGCACCCAGGGATCCGCTGCACCGGTCCAGGGAGAGGCCACCGGCTCCACTTTGGGTTTCATATCTGGAAAAAAAGGGAAACTCTGGGAGAGGGGAACAATGCAGAGCACAGAGGAATGCTGAGTGGTGGGTATGTGGCCAGGAGACCAATGGCTTCCAGAACTACCACCTGGGACTGTAATGGAGTAGGCACCAGAGGGAGAAGAAGACAGAGGTCCTCATTGTTGAGCTGCTGGGGAGGAACAGCGGCAAGGGACAACTTTTTGCCACTGTCCCAAATTTTGGCAGCCCGCAAGTTGTCCTCACCTGTCATATCCCATGGGTCAGCAGACGTGTGGCTGGAGGGGGCTGGCGCCGGCCCGAATATATCTGCCAGCTCCAGAATAGAGGACTGCAGACAGGAAGGGAATAAAGAGGTGAGAGGAGCCTGGGGCAGACCTGCAGGATCACCCGTGTGGCCACCCAGCCTCCAGTGCTGTACCTGGCTTTTCTTCATCTTATCTTCTTCTTGCTCTTCGTCCCTGCCTGGGGCAGTCTCCTCCACAGGTCTCTGCTGCAGGGAGTTCTCCCCTTGCCAGGTCCTCACTTCCTGTGGGGACAAGGGATGGCTGTGAGCTCAGCAACCCTACACACAGCACCTTCTCCAGGAGACACACCCAGCACAGGAGCTGCCACCCACAAAGTCCCAGCATCTGAGCAGACAGCTCCTCCGGGGCCGAGCCCCCCAGGAGAGCACTCAGCAGACAGCCCGGAGCAGCGAAAGCAAAGCGGGCATCGGAGCGAGGTGATGTTTGGGGCTCCAGTGCCACAGAGAGAAGACCAAGTGCAAGGAGAGCGGAGCGCCAGGACTGCAGGACACAGGTACCTTCTCGTGCTCCTCTTTGCTCAGCGCGAGCGCGAGCTGCAATTGCCTTTCTTCGTCTGTACTGGAAAGTGGAGGAAGTGGCTTCTGGCAACAGAGGAAATTGGGTGACATTTCAGCTTGCCCTCAAGTCGCAGGACTGCTTGGAGGTTGTCCTTCTCCTTGCCACTGCCATTCCAGTGGCCCCCTGCCTGCCTGCACAGCATCTGTGCCCATCCAGCTGCCCTTGTTTGCAGACCCCCAGCACAGCGTCCCTGTGCTCTCTGACAGCTCCTGCTCAGGTCCCTGCAGCCCCCCCCCAGCTCCTTCCCCAATCCCATCACCTGCTGCTGGATTAAGGCTGGGATGATGCTAAATTAGGCGCCTTGCCTGCAGACCCCCAGCCCAGCGTCCCTGTGCTCCCTAACCAGCTCCTGCTCAGGTTCCCTGCAGCCCCCACCCAGCTCCTTCCCCAATCCCATCACCTGCTGCTGGATTAAGGCTGGGATGATGCTAAATTAGGCAGTCAGCATCTTCCCTGGGAGGTTTTGGGGACCCTGATGCAGTCAGTGAAGGAGAGGAGATGAGTAAGACATCCCCTTGCCCTGGCAGCCTTCTGGGGAAGATGATTTGTGACACTGACCAGCCTCAGTTTGGGATTTCTGCCAGCCCCACACCTAGACCTGCGTAGACTTTGGGGAGAGGCTGTCCCTGTACCACCATGGTGGCCCTGATCACTGCCCCATGACACTTTTCGCAGCCCCACACCTAGACTTGAGGAGAGGACTTTGGGGAGAGGCTGTCCCTGTACCACCATGGTGGCCCTGATCACTGCCCCATGACACTTTTCCAGCAGTGTGGGGACTCATGGGAGCTGGGAATGGGTACCCTGATAGGGGTGTATGTGTGTTGACACCCATAAATGTGTGCACATGACTGTGCAGCCCAGATGGGCTCCAACAAAAAGGCAACACTTTCCAGAGAGTGTTTCTTCAGTGCTCATTGGAGCAGTGTGAGGAGGCTATAAATACTCAAATTCCAGGACAAAAATAGGGATATACACCCTGCCTCCAAAAGAGCCTCAATTGGGCAGGAAAGACT